AAAATATCCCAAAATAGCCCCAACATAGTCTCCAAGACGGTCCCAAGATGGCCCAGTCGAGCCCAAGAGTGCCTCAAGAGGCTCCGAAGAGGCATCCTCCCCTTCGCCTTTTTCCTCCTTCTCCTCCTCCTCCCCTTCCTCCCCCCCGCGTTCCCCGAAACCTTTCCAAACCGACTCGGGGAACACATGGTTCGATAGCTTGGCCAAGCTCTAGCCCAGCTGTCGGACACATAGGTGCTTCCACAAGGGCAGGGGGCGGCGGTGATTCGCCGTAGGCGTCTTCGATACATGCATGTTGATGTACGTATGTGCACACATGTACATGCGCTTTCATGCATACGTACATGTGTCGATACAGGCACACATACATAGAAGTGCACAGATCCGCCAACGTGCCTCTGGGCACGGAGTGGGCGTGTCCTCAGGTCCTTTGCCCAATCCCTGGAGCCTCAGTCCTCGGTCCGGAGGAGTCTTTGCAGGGCCTGGGCACAAAATTCCGAAATCTGCCGCGGCTTCCCGCGTGGCCCCTGGGCTCTGGCGCATCTTGTCGCATGATCCAAGAGGGCCCGAGTCGCCGAATGATCTCTGCCAGACACCCAAGATAGCCTCAAGATGGCCCAAGAGGCCTCCAAGACGCTCGGCAAAAAAAAACATTAGAAACAAATCGCTGGGTTTTGAAGGATTTGGGCGTTCTCGCCTTTCCGGCTTCCCGACGCTCCGAGACGGCCCAAGAGGCCCCCCACCCCAAAACGGCCAAAGAGGGCTCCAAGAGGGCCCCAAGACGGCCCAAGAGTGCCCCAAGACAGCCCAAGAGGCACCCAAGACGGCTCAAGAGGGCCCAAGGACGGCCCCAACAGGGGCCCAAGAGAGGGAACACGAACCGAAAATCCGAGCCTTTCGCCCAAAGGGGCCTCCAGGAGGTCTTTGCAGGCGCCCCAGAGGCCCCGAGAGGCCCCCAAGAGGCCCCCGAGAGGCTCAAGGTAGGCCCCACGAAGCCCCAAAACGGCCCACGAGAGGCCTGCAAACTGCCTCCTGGAGGCATCCAGGGGTCTCCGCAGGGCCTCCGAGAACCGACCCCCCGAGACCCTCCTCGAAGGCCCTTCGAGGGCGCTCCAGAAGGTTCTCCGAAGGCCCTCACGGGACCTCCCGAGGGCGGCGTGCGGCGATGGGCCCAGCGCGAAAGGCGGCCTGCGGGCCCAATCTGCTCCGCTCGGGTCGGGCCAGAGGGGGTGATAGCCAACGGGGGTCAGCGAGTCAGCCGACGCAGCTGGTTTTCTGGCGCCTCCTGGCGCCGGGCGCGACCATGTGAGCAACGAACATAAGCGGGGCTTACGCGAATTGGCACGGCGACCTCACGCGGTGGCTCACGCGGGCCGCCAGCGCGGCGCGCCACATTGGAAACGAGGGCGCCCACGCGCGAACTCACGCGGGACGCTCACGCGCCAATGTCGGTGAAGGCGACCCCGCTGTTTCTGTGTCGCCCATGTATCGAGGAGAGCGACCGGCGGCAGGGCCGGCACCAGCTGCACGCAGCAGTGTCCGCTCCCCCCTTTCCACCTCCCCCTCGGCCGCCCGACTCCCTCGATCGTCGCCGTCTGGACTTCGGGTCATGGGCCGAGTCTCCGGCGGCCACTCAGGAGGACCCAGGCACTGCTGGGGCGCTCTCGGCGAGGGGCAGCTGCGGGGAAGAATTCCGAGGCCCGAGAACCGCGAAGAACTGACGACGAGGGCACACGCTGAGATGGATGACGGATCTGTGGATCTGGCGCGTGGGCGCCAACTCCACACGTCGCGGAAAATACCCCCCAAAACATGAAGTGACCCCTCCACCACACACTTAGTTGCAGAGCGCGCCTATCGACCTACTTTGGAAGCGAAAGTCCTAACCGAGAGGGGCATGGGTAAGTGGTGGTTGGGTCGTGGAGCTGCTGGAACCACTGTCCCTCGTAATAACTAAGTGCTGGTACCGACGCCGCGGGCTGCTGGAACCGCCTTCCCTCGTAGAACATGTAATGCTGGAGCCCATCTGTCTTGTAGGCTTGAGCTGCTGGAGCCACTCCCCCTCGTAACAATTGGGTGTTGGAACCGACGCCGTGGGCTGCTGGAACCACCTTCCCTCGTAAAAATTGGGTGCTGGAACCGATGTGTCTTGCAGGCAGGAGCTGTTGGAACCACTCTCCATCGTAACCATTGCGCGCTGGAACCACACCCCGTTTAGGGTTATGAAAATAAGAATAAGATGAGGGGAGGGGCGAGACAGGCCCGAAGGCGGGGGTCCTAACATTGTAGTCACGCCTCGCCCCTAAATGTGGGCAGTCTGCGCGCGCTCGTGCGCGTGCGGTTCGTCGGTCGGTCGGTCGATCTGGTCGTCGTCGGCCGTCGTCGTCTCGGCCGGCCGGTCGGTCCGTCGGTCGGTCAGTCGTCGTCGTCTCGGTCGGTCGGCCGGTCGGTCGGTCGGTCGTCGTCGGTCGTCGTCGTTGTGGTGGCTCCCTCATGGCTCCCTCATGGCTCCTGATACGTGCACATGCCAGTAAATTTCACTACCAACATCATTCACCTGACTGTAGGAACGGCTCCCGTTGCAAATCCATGCGCCTAGTCCATGCTTGCGCTTCCTCGAAAGAACCGCCGAAGACGCCCGGATCTCCTTCCCGGTGGGTAAGGCCTCGGGTTGCGCGAGGACAGCCCCGGTAGTCCCGGCTGGCGTCAACAGGTCCCCCGAGTAGCCAGGGGCGGTCTCAACACCCGGACCCTGGTGCGCGGAGCGCCCCGCGGACGCCGCCGCAGGCGGCGCCATGGTGCTCAGACGCTCAGACTGGCCTGGACTACTCTGAGGCCTCCCAGATGGGCTCGGAGTAGATGGGTTCGGAGGATCGCGCCGCATCGCCGATACATCGGCGAGGCATGGGCGATGCACTGGCGACGTCGGCGATGCATCGGCGACGTCGGCGTGGAGTGAATTGGGCTCCACATCGAGTCGCATCGCGGATACATCTGCGATGCGGCCGCAATCCTCCGACCCCATCTACTCGGACCCCGTCTGGGAGGCCCAGATACTCGGGGGGGCTGCCGAGGCCAGCAGGGACTACCTGGTGGGGCTGCCTCTGCGCAGCCCCAGGCCTTCTCATGCCCGATCTAAGACGAAACCAGGACGCGGATAAGACCGGGTGGGGAGAAATCGAGAATCTCTGAGATCCAGCGGCTCTGCAGGATGCATCGGGCGCCGCGGCCTTCTCAGAGCGTGCCAGGACGCGCTGGGACGGCTTCATCCTCGTCGCGGCCCCGTCCAACGATACCCCCCCGCTCTCCTCCGCCCAGGCCAGCGGCGGACATCGCTGCCGCCACTCCCCAGACCCCTCTCCCAGTGCGCGGTCCCGGCCAGGACTCCTCGAGGAGAGCCCGAGGCCGCGGCGACAGAGGCCTCCCGGGAGGCCCATGGTGAGCGCGACAGCGAGGCGTGGGCAAACGGCGTGGGTGCCTCTCTAGGTGGCGACGACACCTGTGCACATCCGCCGGTCCCCGGCCAGGCCCATCCTGAACCCGGCGGGGGCGCATACGCCACGTCCTCCTGGCGTGGCCAGGAGGGCGCATGCGCAGCTCCCGGGTTCGGGACGGACCTGGCCAGGGAGCAGTGGATGTTTACAGCTTTCGTCGCCCGACTTTTAGGTGCCGACGCCTGGGCCCCACCCACACCAACAATCGCGCTTCTCCTGAATCGATGGGAGGCGGGGGCAGGCTTCGGAGCTCGCCACGTGCTCGACGAAGTCCGAACCCCACCCCCGCCGCCCATCGAGCTGCCTAACTCCTTGATCGGCGAGGGCAGGGTCTGGAGTTCGCCGCATTCCGTCGCCGAACCCTGCCTGGGGAAACCAAACGGTACCGATATCGCAAATTACTCCCTGGACCTCTCCTAGGGTGCGTTCTGACGAGGATTTCGAAGCGAATCCGGCGGTGGCGACGAGGGCCTCCCAGGAGGCCCAAACAGGGGAAAACGGGGCAAAGGCAGCGGTGTGGGTACAGTCGGACCTGGCCAGAAGAACATCCTTCGAGAACATGAGACCCTCCGTCGACCAAAACAAGCAGAACATCCAAGGGCACTCTCCCCAGGATGCACGAGAACATCCAACAAACACGAATAGCACTAGGTTACCCTCCCCGAACCGACCTCGATCTTACACCTCGGTCCGTCAGTACCTTTTCCTCCTCCGTGCGAGGCGGGGATTTATCCAGATCCACCGCTTGGGAACCGACGTCCTGGTGCCCCGGGCGGTGGACATGGAGCTATTTCGGCCCCTGGGGGCCCAAATATGTCCACATCCGCCGCCTGCCGAGGCTCCGCAAACTGACCCCCCAGGCGGTGGTCATGCATAGACTCCCACCTCGGACTCTGACTCTCCTCCTCCTCCTCCTCCTCCTCCTCCTCCTCCTCCTCCTCCTCCTCCTCCTCCTCCTCCTCCTCCTCCTCCTCCTCCTCCTCCTCCTCCTCCTCCTCCTCCTCCTCCTCCCCCCCCTCCTCCTCCTCCTCCTCCTCCTCCTCCTCCTCCTCCTCCTCCTCCTCCTCCTCCTCCTCCTCCTCCTCCTCGGGGCGGACTTTCGCCCACCCCGAACAGCGGCGGGGCGCCGCGCGGCCCGCAAAGGTCAGCGGTCGGGGCCGCGGCGGTGCAGCGCGGGGGCCGCGCCCGGGGGGCGCTCGGACGGCGCGCCCCTCGGGCGGGGAGGAGGAGGAGGAGGAGGAGGAGGAGGAGGAGGAGGAGGAGGAGGAGGAGGAGGAGGAGGAGGAGGAGAGGAGGAGGAGGAGGGAGGAGGAGGAGGGGGAGGGGAGGAGAGGAGGAGGAGGAGGAGGAGGAGGAGGAGGAGGAGGAGAGGAGGAGGAGGAGGAGGAGGAGGAGGAGGGAGGAGGAGGAGGAGGAGGAGGAGGGAGGAGGAGGAGGAGGAGGAAGGGGGAGAGGGGAGGAGGAGAGGAGGAGAGGAGGAGGAGGAGGAGGGAGGAGGAGGAGGAGGAGGAGGAGGAGAACGACGAGGAGGAGGAAGGGGGGAGGAGGGGGAGGAGGGGAGCCCGCGGATGCGCCGTCGCACGGCTGCGCTCCGCTCGGGGCAGCCGCGACAGAGCGGCCCGCATATCCGCGGAGTCGCGGCTCGGGGGCCAGCCCGCGGGGCCGCGAAGACGCATGTGCGGTTCGCCCACGAGCTCGAGGGGCCGCAGGAGCGGGGCTGAGGGGGGACCCCCCCCGTTGGAGTGTACCACGGGCCGCTCTCTCGTATGGAGGCAGAGAAGGGGGGGGAGGGGATAGGGAGGAGGGAGGATCAGTGAAGGAGGGATGGAACATGTAGGGAGAGGGAGGAGGGAGGAGGGAGGAGGGAGGAGGAAGGATGGCGGACGAGGGAGGAGGGGGGAAGAGGGAAGAGCGATGAAGAAGGAGGGGGGAAGAGGGAAAAAGGGAGAAGGAGGGAGAAAGAGGGAGAAGAAGGAGGGAGAAGAAGGGAGAAGGGGGGAGAAGAAGGAGGAGGAGGAGGAAGAGGGAGAATAAAGAGTGCGACTGAAGCCCCTCAAGAGAAGGAGAGGGGGAGCTGGGAGAAAGCGAAGGCGAGCACGAGGGTATTGAATATCAGCTCTTCTTGCGAGTCATGTGGTCGAATATGACAACTTGGATGTACTCGCCTGTTGGAACATCGTGGCGCTTTGAATTGTCTCCTGGCTCAACCTTAGGGTCCACGTTGATCACCTTTCTATCTCTCTTGTTCTTGAACAAGAGCCCCTGCTCGTGGTCAGGAATGATCTGGAAATTGGGGCTCTCGTTGGACGTCGAATGCTGCGTGTCCCAGTTGTAGAACGACAGGTCCGACGGCCTAGGCAACAGTCTTTTCTTTCGCTCGAAGTAAGGCTCAAACCCTTCGGTTTTGAGACGGTGCCCGTAGTCAATGTCCGCCACTGCGCTTGCAGCGCCTCTCCCGCCAGACTCGCCCCTCTCGGACCAAGACATGAAGCCCCCGACGTCCCAGGCCGGGGTGTAAACTCCATGGAACTCTCCCAGCTCCCCCCCGCCCCCTGCCCAGACCCCGACCCTCCCCCGGTTGCCCACCCGAGAGCGGTGGCGGATTGGCGCGGCAACGCGGCTTGATAGCCAGATATTTCTTGGCCCTTCGTATTTTTGTCGCGGATGAAGATTATGGTGCTCAGCTTGCCGTTCCGGACTAGCTCTTCGCGAGCAGCAAGGTGCCTGCTGGAAAGAGCAGCAAATTACACTACAGCGTGCCGATGCCAGGTGGGACAGAAGGCGCCAGCAAAGTCCCTACACGAACGTTTGGTCGTCAACGGTTGCCTCACTCCTCAGAATTCTCCCTCCTCCCTCCTCCTCCTCCTCCCTCCTCCTCCTCCCTCCTCCTCCTCCTCCTCCTCCTCCTCCTCCTCCTCCTCCTCCTCCTCCTCCTCGTCCTCCTCCTCCGCCTCCGCCTCCGCCTCCCCCTCCTCCTCCCCCCCCCCTCCTCCCCTTCCTCCTCCTCCTCCTCCTCCTCCTCCTCCTCCTCCTCCTCCTCCTCTCCTCCTCCTCCTCCTCCTCCTCCCTCCTCCTCCTCCCCCTCTTCCTCCTCCCATCCCATCCTCCCTCCCTCCCTCCCTCCCTCCTCCTCCTCCTCCGCCGCCGCTTCTCTCCTCCTCCTCCTCCTCCTCCTCCTCCTCCTCCTCCTCCTCCTCCTCCTCCTCCTGCTCCCATTGTTTATCACCGCCTCCGTCCGCCAGCGTGCTTGCACGGAGTGGACGTGTGAAAATGATGCTATGTTGCCTGGTTTGGTTTCTTTCGTATTTTCTGAGGCTGGCGCCCTCTCTCGAACCAACCACCCCTATAAAATCGCCACCTCTGGATTTGCTCTCCGTCCTTCACTTCGGCCTCCAAATTGCTCCAAGACCGCCATAAACCGCCCCAACATAGCCACGCTCACCCAAAAATGGCCCAGAAAGCCCCAAAGACGGCCCCAAGACTGCCCAAGAAAGCCTCGAGACCGTCCAAGAGAGACTCTAGATGGCTCAAGATCGTATCAGGACGGCCCACGAGCCTTCCAAGACGTCCCAAGAGGGCTCCAAGAGGGCGGTCGAGGCTCTCGAGAGGCAAGAACCAGTGATGTCCCTTCGGACTTTGATAGGTGTTGAGATCCTGGCATTTCCTGGCTTCCGACAACACAAAACGGCACCCACAGGTTCCCAAGAGGGCTCCACACAACCCAAGAGGGCCCCGAGAGGCCCCAAGAGGGCCCCAAGGTGCCCTCAGGACGGCCCAAGAGGCTCCAAGAAGGCCCCGAGACGCAGCCCAAGAGGGGGAAATCGAGATGGCCTTGCATGCCGTTCCCTCCAAGATTGCCTTCAGCACCCCCAGCATGCCCCCGGGTGGCTTCGCCAGGAAGCCCCCGATAGACCACCAAAGGCCCCCCAGACCCCAGACGGCTCTAGGAGATCCCCGAGGAGCCCTCGAGAGGCCCCACCAGCAAGGCCCTTGAAGTTCCTTAAGACGACGAAGATGGCCCCAAGACGGCCCAAGAGGCGCCCAAAACGTCCCAAGAGACCTTCAAGGAAAGGCTCGAAAGGCCCTCCTCGCGCGCATGCTATGAAAATCGCCCCCCATAGATTTGTTTTCCGGCTCCAAGACAATCAGAAAACAACCTCGTCTCTTGCCGCCAATCGTCGACGGACCCTTCCAAGACAGCGAAGACGGTCCGACAGTGCGTCCCAAGAGGACGAAGCCGAGGACAAGCTCACGACACGCCCCGGAAGACCCGCTGAGTGACCCGATCCGTCCTCCTCCCCCGAGGACCTGAGGAACGGCCAGTCCGTCAGGTCCTTCCCCGTGCTCGCCAGCTCCTTGGGAGCCTTCTGGAGCCTCGCCTTCTTCGCGGTCTCCACCGCCTCTGAGGGCCGGGGAGGGGGACAGGGGGAAAAAGGCAAGCTAGGTGCACTTGCGCCATATCCGACATCATATCCATCTCTCCCGTTCCTTCCAATTGCGCTGATGTTGTCTCTATCCGCGGACGCGTGTCATAGCCGACCTGGAGCTCCACAGAAGAACCCATCGTGTTATGCGAAGTCGGAAAATCTGCAGCCTGTGGGACGTGTGGGACATGTGAGACCTATGAGGCAGGTGGGAACTGTGGATATGTGGAACCTGTGGGACCTGCGGGAATTGTGGGACCTGTGCGACCCGGGGGACCTCTGTGGCCTTTGGGGCCTGTGAGACACCAGCGGGACCTGTGGGACCTGTGGGAATTGTGGGACCTGTGAAACATGTGGAAATGGCGGGACCTTTGGGACCTGTGGTCCTTTGGGACCTCTGCGGGACCTGTGAGAAGTGCGACTCCTGTTGGACCTGCGGGACCTGTGGAACCTGTCAAACCCTGCGACCTACGAGACGACATGCGATACCTGTGGTTCCTGTGGGACCTGTGCGACCGGGGGGACTTCTCTGGCCTTTGGAGCCGGAGACACCTGCGACACCTGTGGGACCTGTGGGACAGGGGGGACCTGTGGGACCTATGGGACCTGCGGGAATTGTGGGACCTGTGGGACCTGTGGCATCGGCGGGACCTGTGACCTGTGGGACCTGGGGGACCTCTGTGGCCACCTTCGAGGCCTGCAACACTTGTGGGACCTGTGGGACTTGCGAGACCTGTCGCGTGGGACCTGTGGGACCTGCGAGACGTGCGACAAATGTGCGAGCTGTGGGACCACTGAAACCTGTCAGACCTGTGGTCCCTATGGAACCTGTGGGACGACCTGCGACACCTGTGGTTCCTGTGGGGCCTGCGGGACCTGCGACACCCTGTGGGGCCAGCGAGGCCTGCGGGGTCCAAAAAAGTGGCCCGCGCTGGGGCGGGAGCGCCCCGGACGACGGGAGCACAGCGCCGATCCGAAGATGAGGCCCACGCTGCAGCGAGAGCAACAATTTTGAAACACCGAACTCCATCGGAGTGCAACAAAAGCACCCAGGACAGATCATGTGTTGAAATCCGATGTATGCGAAAACCATGTGCGGAGGGGGCCCCATACCCCCAGACAGAGCCAGGGGAGAAAGGAGGCCATTCATATTCCCAAGCAGTGTTTGCACTTACGGATTCTCACTGCTGCTCTAAGGAACTGGGCTGGTGTGGCGGTCTGGCGGCTATGCGGTCGCCGTCGCCGCCCCGTCGCCGCCCAGTCGCCGCCCCGTCGCCGCCTCGTCGCCGCCCGTCGTCTGGGCCACTGTGGCGGTCTGTCCGCTATGTTGTCGCCCTTGCCGCCCCGTCGCCACCTCGTCGCGCTTGTCGTCTCGGCCAGTGCGGCAGTCCAACGGCTATAATGTCGCCGTCGCCGCCCAGTCCCCGCCTCGTCTCCGCCTTTCGTCTGGGCCGGCGTGGCGGTCTGGCGGCTATGTTGTCGCCCTCGCCGCCCCGTCGCCACCTCGTCGCCACCCAAGATTGAACACCATAGGTTATTCTTTTAATCAGGAGCCACCACCCTCCGTAGGCCGGACTTATCACTACCCCGTGAAGATGTGCAATTTACATACGATTTTGCCCCATCGCGCATCCAAAATATCGTACCATCCCAAGCACGCCAGAATTCGCACCCCCTTTTTCTCATCCTCTCCAAAAAATGCTATGCGCGCGCATTCGTTTATCAAGAATCACAAATTTTCAGAAAAAAACTTGCAACAAACAACACGGAGTGCACACGTTCGCGTCGTCGGGCGCGCATGCCGAAATCCTTTAACAACTTCAGGTTTCGTAGAAGTTTCAAAATCGAGTGTCCAATGTGTATATATGCACACATAAAACGCACGTTTTCGCCGATCTGATTTAAAAGAATGCGCCCGCGTTCTTGCGAATTCAGAAGAAACCATTAGTTTGCACAATGTCCATAAAATGCCGTCATGATACCAACTGGACCTCTCGCGCGCGCATGTCGAAATCGTTTGCACGTCATTGCGCGCATGCTGTCCCAAGAATCCCGGCAAAAACACGAGGGCAAAAAAAACACAACATCTATATATATATATATATATATATATATATATGCATACATACATACATACATACATACATACATACATATGTGTATATATACACATATATATGTGTATATATATATATATGAATAAGAATGCTGGTTCATATCACTAACAAGAAAATATTGCCACGACCCCCCAAACAAGTGTTGCAGCATCAGCTTTCAAAAAATGACTGCGCGCGCGCTCTGGCGAGTTCTATTTTTCGAATGAAAAACAATGGTTGTTGAATATTGCCATCAAATTCTGCCAAACGGGCGTCTCGCGCCGCATGCCGAACTCATCCGAACGCCATTGCGCGCGCTGGGGGGGGGGGGGGGGGGGCGCGATCCGTGTCCAATAATACCACGCGGGCCACTCGCGCGCGCGGCCGCGCGCGCATGTCGAACTCTTTTCAAAACCATCATCGCCGACGCGAGGACATTGTCAACGTTATCGGCGGGCGCGATCAACATCGGTGCCGCCATTGGCCTTGCCGTCGTCATCGCCACCATCGCCACCGCCATCGCCACTCTCATCATCGCGTCTACCGTTGTCGGCGTCGCGATGATACCTCGCCCGCCCACGTCATCGACTCGCACTGAAGTGCCCGCTGAAAGTGCCCAGCGGTCAGCACCGCCGCGGCCGCATCGGTCGCGCCGCACAGGCTGGTTGCCGCGCACGCGGGCACGCGCGGGCTAGCGCGGCCAGAGATTGCACCACAAAGATTGCACTGCATATATTCCCCTTTCGAAAAAATGCCAGGATCTCCCCCCCCCCGGGACGTAACGAGTCACCTTCTTCCCATTGCAATTTGCATCCGATTCTGCCCCATCGCCCATCCCAAATATGAATTCCCATCATCCCAGCCAAACCAGCAACGCCGCCCCACCCCACCCCTGTCCTCTACAAAAAACAACGCGCGCACTCTGAGTTTCCAACCCCCCCCCAAAAAAAATCCCAATAAATGAAACGCGCACGCGCGCGTCGCCGCGCGCGCATGTCAAAATCTGTTTAAAAACTGCCGGTTTCGCGAGGCTTTTAAAATCGAGTGCCACGAAAACAAATAAGACACACATCGTTTCGCGACAAAGGCTTTTTGTTGCATACACACACATATATATATATATATACATATATGTATCTATATACATATATACACATATACATATACATATATATATATATACATATATATATATATATATATATATATATATATATACAGACATGCATACATATATATATATATATATATATGTATACACACTCTCAACAGAAGAAACCTGCGCTCGCGCTCTTGCGAGCTTTGAAGAAACCCAGAGGCTGTCAACATGTTCATAATCTACTACGAAACGGGCCTCGCGCGCGCGCATGTCGAAATCGCTCGAACGCCCTAGCGCGCGCTGTCGCAATAATCCTTTGCGAAAGTGCGGCAACGCGCGCCGGCGCGCGTCTTGCCGACACGTTTCAAAGACCTGTGGTTTCGAAAGGATGTCTAAAACGAGCGCCCCGAACACATGTGAAACACATGTTTTTGCAACAACCGTTTTCAAGCAAATCCTGCGTTCGCGCCCTTGCGACTTCGGTTGTTCAACATGTTCGTCAAATCCTGTCAGACGCGCCTCTCGCGCCGCATGCCGAACCCATCCGAGAGCACTTGCGCGCGGGCTGGGGGGGGCGCGATCCGCGTCGAATAATACCACGCGGGCCACTCTCGCGCGTCGGCCGCGCACGCACGTCGAATTCCTTGCGCAAATTTCATTGCCGACGCGAGAAAGCCGCCATCGCCGTCGGCGCGATCAGCATCGGCGCCGCAGGCGCCCGCTGGGAAGTGCCCGGCGGCCAGCGCAACCTCGGCCGCATCAGCCGCGCCAAACGAGCTGGCCGCCGCGCGCGCGAGCACGCGCGCGCTAGTAGCGCCGGCCAACACCACGCACTCATCGCAAACGCCGCCGCATGGGTTTTGCAAGCCAAGTTGCGCGCGGGGCGGGCGGGGCGATTGCGCGAGCAGAGAAGCTGAGAACTCACTGCGAGCATCGGTGAATTCTCCTTTCTAAAAAAAATAGACTCTACCCCCCCCCCCCCGGACTTAATGCTTCCCCCTGGATAATATATATATATATATATATATATATATATATATAATATATATATAATTCTGCACACTCGCCCATCCTAAATATGAAATCATACCATCCCAGGCAGGCCGGTTCCCCCCCTGAGGTTCCCGCAAAAAAACGCGGTGATATTTGTTGTTCTAACATACCCCTTTTTCGCGAATCCCTTCCAAAAAATAAAACGAAGTGCACACGCGCGCGTCGTCGCGCGCGCATGCCGAAATCCTTCAAAAACCTTCGGCGCCGGAAGGATTTCGCAATCGAGTTTTTTTTTTTCAATCTATATATAATATATATATATATATATATATATATATACATATATATATATATATATGTTTCGCGGGACGACGACGAGACGCCGACGACGGACGACGACGACGACGACGAGGGAGGAGGAGGAAGGACGAACACGGCGACAACGACGACGGAAACGACCTCGACGCCAAAGAGGACGACGAGGACGAACACGAGGAAAGACAGAGGACGACGTAGGCGACGACGACGACGATAACGACGCGGGAGGAGGGAGGACGGCGACGACGACGACGACGACGCAAGAGCGCGCGCGCACGCTTTGGTTGAAAATCCGCGTTGCGAAACCTTCGGTTTTTGTAAGTGTTTTGGACGCGCGATTTCGACATCCTTCCGAAACCGATGGGTTTTTAAGGATTTCAGCGTGCGCGCGCGACCACGCGCGTCTGCACTTTTTTGTTTGCCTTGGGTTGCAGAGGATTCTCGCGACGGCACACGCGCAAGGGCGCTCG